GGTGCTGGGGGATTGAACCGCGGTCCCTGATGCTTTTGCTAAGCTTGTTCTAAGTAGGTGCTTTAGACCACTGAGCCATCTCTCCAGCCCAGGGATATTCAATGTGTGTTTAAAAAGAAATGTTACGTTTCTCCCAAATACAAGTTATATATTAAAATATCTATCTAAAATTAAGGATAATCCTAAAGATACCATAAATGTACTTAGAGTCAGAAAAAAAATTTTCTGCATGGTGCAAAAAGCATTCACTATGAACCCAGGTAGTCACTTTATGTGTGTGCACACACTATGGCACACAGCCAACTAGAGAAAAGTAAATAACTTTTTTTCCAGAAAGCAGGAAGGAAGAAAGATCAGGGGAAATATGACACTTGTGTTTACTGAGAGGGTTCTATTTTGGATGGCTCTGCTATTTTGGTTTGTGTATTTGATAGTAATCATAGTTCTTGGTTCCTTCCCCTTTGACATCTAGTGCTAACATAGTTGACTATGTTAAACTAAGCCTGCCATGCATTTGGACCATCTGGGTCTAGATGCTATCAACTTATCACCATCGGCCTGATCACTAAGAAAAGGCCTCATACAGACTCTTTGCTGAATTTTTCCTCTACTGAAAGGGGTCAAAAGTGTTTTGGGTCAAAGTTGGACCCACCCTCACAAGCCCTACCTAAAAGCTCATTTCCCATCAGTGAAATATGTTTGTTGTCCCATCATATTTACCCTAATCTCATTACTCACAGTATTGAATTTCATACATCTATCCCCACTGCCTTAAATATTAATGCAGAGGAGTTATAAACATTACCTGTTGTGATCTCTGAATAGCAGCATCGATTTCATCCACTCTTTGTCCAACAGTGTCACTGATCAGTTTGTACTGCTCGTTGGCATCTGACACAAGTTTATCCAGTCCTTCTCTGGCTCTCCAGGGCACCAGCTCTAAGAGGGCACGGCTCACCTCATTCACTGTGTCCAACACCAGTCTGTGCTCCATGACCTCTTTCTTTAATTCCTAAGGAAGGAAAAAAGTTTTCAGGCCATACTTTGCTAAATAAAGCACATTAGCAGCTGTGCTGGGTGGAAAGTACTCTCTTTTCTACACATCCCAGCAGGGTACTGACCTCCTTCTTTCAGTTATTTTTTTCTTGTCTCAGATCTTTCAATCATTTTGAAGCCTGACTTTAGGTTTAGCTGCTGTTTATTTAGAACTGCCTCTGAGATTTGCGTAAAGCAAATAATGCTTTCTTTTCTTTTTACTTTAACAATACTTTAAGCATAGGCTCTTGACCTAAAAACATCTGCACAGTACTTCAGCGCTTCTAGAAGATCCTACAGGAGAATCAAATGTAACCAAGATGTGCTCCTGAGAGAATGAGTTGTGAGGGTAAACTATAAAATGCTACATTATGAAGCAGACTTCCTAGAGACTTGGGATTCAATTTCTTTCTTCTTCAGAGTACAATAAGTGCTCTTATATTACATGTCTTTATGTCAAATCTTACTGTTCATAAGTAAATAAGAGGCAGGCAGAAATTTTTGGTTTAGATGTTACGATAAGGTTGATGAAAAAAGATTATGACAAACCTTTCATCCCTTTTATAATGTGAAATACTAGCTTACCTTCTGTCTTTGCTGAAACTGGGGTATCTGCTCCCCCGTGGGAGACTGTCCTCCGCTGGCTGCCAGCTCTTCCTCCACCTCCCTCAGCCACCCAGTCAGTTCCTCATATGTGGACTGGAATTTGGTGGCCAGTTGTCGGGCTTGCTCTAAAGTTCTGAGAGCCTTAGAGCTAGTGACTGTGATGTCTACATAGCGGGTCTTTATTCCATCCAGTTTCTCCTGTATAAGCAACACCTCTTCACCTGTAGAGAACAGTACACAGTTATTCACATCTAGGAGATCTGGGGATGAGGCTTTCCATCAAGTCAGAGCTTAAATTTCACAGATATTCTTTCCCTTTGGTAGTGATTTCATCTAGCATCCCACACTAAGGTTAAATTGAAAATAAACCTCAGAAGTAACTTCTGAGATTGGGATCTAAGTTCAGTTGCAGATGTTTTTAGATGTGCTCAGCACCTTGCATGAATGCTAGCACATGACATCCTGGTAGTCAGGGGGAGTCATCCTCTACAACCAGATGTGAAATAACAGTCTTGTAGTTTTCCAGGAATATAGGTCATTAGCATCCCTGTAGCAACAGTAATACAATCAGAGAATAACAGGCTTCTCATATATACAAACAAATAGCTGCTGCAGGTTATTTGTTTCCCTAGATATGTGGCTGTGTTTCAGAGCACAGCATTGCTAAGAGATAAACTTTCCAAAGTACCTGTGGTTTGTTTTAGAAGAGCCTGACCATTTTTAATAGCTTGATCTACATTCTTCTTTCTATTAACAATCTCTTCATTTAAAGCCTGAAAAGAAAGAATACCGTTAATTTCAAAACTATGGCAAAACAAAGAAATATGAGATCTTTAATAGATCAAATTTAAAATACAGAGATGAGTACCAACTTAAATTTAGTATCAGATGTTTGATTCCCTTATTATCTCTTTGATTATCCCACTGATTACCCAAAATAATTAAATCATATTTAATTGAGGGTAAGCCCTCTTTTGTGCTGAATAAGAAATGATTTAGGACTGAATCAGCTTTACTGATGGATTGTTATCAAACTTACATCCAAGTGAGGTAGAAATGAAATTCAGTAAAAAGTCTACTGAGTCCAAAGTAAAGAACAGGACAAAATGTTCATGCGAAAAAAGTAAGTAATTTGACTTAAATCAGGCTCCTGGGTTAAAATTCTACATATTTCAAGTTGATGAAGCAAAAGAATCTTAAGATTATTTTAAAAAGTTGCTTTATCTAGTTTTACTATTTCCGAAGAGACCTCATAAAGATAAACTAAAACAGGCACACTTTTAAAAAAATTAAGATGACACAGAATCCCTAGTATTTGGGTATATAAATTCTACAAATAGTCTAAAAAGTATAACTACATGACACAGTGGTGGCCACTATTTAGATAATACTGGTTTTGTTAAAGTATATCCTTTAATAAATCTGTACAATTGGAAACCCAGTGCATATTACCCAATGATATAAATTATAACTAGAGATACGCCTGAACTATACCTTGTACCATTCTTCTAGAATTATCCAGTCAGTTTGTGAAGTACAAATATGTTCATGGGCCCTCCAAAAAAGATTAGTACTTAGCACCAAGTAACTAAATAGCCCTTCTGTACAAAATAAAGTTTGAAGTATTTGGAATGGAGAAAATAAAGAAAAAAAAAAAAAAAAAAGGAAAAAGAAATGAAGAGAAACACAAATCAAAACGACAAAAAATAACTTAGTAACATAACCAGTAAGAATGGAAAACACAAATACCAGGTGATTAGCATGCTGTTTCTGCAGGACATCCTGTCTGTAATCCTTTACGAACACTGAACTGAGCTTGTCCTCAGCCTCAGCCAGCCAGTTGAGCACTTCCACCTCATCCTCCCCAAACAGTCTAGCATTGCACAGTGCTTGTTCAAGCAGGGCTGCCTTCCGACAACACCGGTCTTGAATCTCACTGTATCGGGCCTGCAACAAGTCTAGCTTTTCTGACAGCACACCCTGTTCTGCAGGACAGGTCAGGGAGGACAGGGACTGCCCAATGTTCACTGCCTGGCGCACATCTGTTGCATGGTTTTCTATTTCTTCCTCCAGAGCCTAGAAATCCAGATGGAAAAAATGAATAACAGGAACAAAACAAATGAAAGGGAAACATGAAACAATGAATAACAAATGATATAATAAATTAAATAATAAAAAAATTACTTATTGAGGAGCAGAAATAACAATTTCTTTTACTTTAAGGATGTGTCTTTTCCAATTAATAATTTGATCATACTTTAAATTAAAACAATGATGCAGGTAGTTTTTTTAATTCCTAGGATTCTATCTCCAGTTCTATGTTTCATTTACAGCAAGTCCTTCCTATCCTACCTTATGCCGAATTATCTGCTGCTGTATTTTGGCAGTTTGAGTGCCAACAGGTTCTGAGTTAGCAAGCTTTTTCTCTGTGACAGATAAGAAATCAGAAATAGGCTCAGCTGTTTCATGGAATTGTTTGGCCAGAACCAGGATATCTTCCAGCTGTTTTTGCCTACACAAATATAGAGGAGACAGAAAGAACATTAAGACTCAGTACTAAATACAGTAAAAGAATAAACTTTACCACTATTACTTAAACACCAATAGTAGACAGAGCACACGTAGTACTCTGCTGGAGTAAAAGCTTACACAACATTATTACTATTTTTTTAAACACAGTACTATTTCTTGTAATCTTTTCATAACCTTGTAAGGTGGGCAGGGAATTATCCCACTATGAAAGAGAAAACTGACCTTGAAAGCTTTAAGGAAAATTTCACCCAGTCATCATAGGTATAGCCACAGCATGGGGATTATCATCAGATCTAATGTCCCTTCTCCTTACAACACCCTGGCACATATCAAAATGTAATGTACTGACTGAACACATTGCCAAAATAAAGTTTCTGTTCTTTTTTTTTTGTATTGGGGATTGGACTTAAGACCTCACACTTGCCAGACAGGCAATTAAGCCACAGAGCTATCTTCCCCAGACTGCCAAAATTAAGTTTCAAAGGACAAAAAGCCACTCAATCTCCTGCTGCCTCTGCTACCTTCATAAAGGTAAAGAGAATGAACACCCGAAGAGCAAAGCAGTGCAGTTTTACAAGCTAGAACTCCCTTCTCATCATCCAAAAATATGGCCAGACTTCCAGTAATTTCAAGGTAAGACTCTAACTTGAAATTCAAATGTAAGGCATAAAACCAAAAACAAAATGAAAAAACTCAAATCTCAAACTAGCTGAATGTGCAATTTAAAAAGCCAAAAGACTGAAAATACAGCCAGGTTTGATGATGTATGTCTATAATGCCCTATTCAGGAGGCTGAGGTGGGAGGATTACACAGTCAAGGTCAGCCTGGACAACTTAGATTGTGTCTCAAAATAAAAATATTTTAAAAGGCTGGGGGACAGAGCTCAGTAGTAGAGTGCTCAACATGGGCCAAGGCCCTGGCTTCAACTATAGTACCAACAAACAAACACAGACTCTGAAAGACTTTATAGCTTAGATGGAACCTTCATTTTTATTTAATATAACATCTATACTAAGCTTAGATTTCAAATAGTCTATAAATTAAAAGCACCCAAATTGCAAAATGGAGGAAATGCCTGGATGTTGAAAAGACAGGAAAACAACCACAGGAACTGTATTAGCACACAGATTAGCAACAGAAGAGCATGGTACTGATTTTAAATTACTAAGAACAGACTGAATGATGCCAACTGACAATGCCTGGGGATAGTGATTTACTTTAGTAAAAACTTTACTGAATACCTGCTTTGTGCCAGGCCTACTCTAGGTACAATCTGAGAAACTTACTTTGATAAAGAGTTTTAAATAAAAAGGTTTAGTTCTTTATTTAACTGTAAATTCAATTACATCTGAATATAACTGAAACATATTTCTAAATGCCATTGTCTTCTAGTGGCAATCTGGGAACAGAAATTCCTCTTCTAGTTCATTTATGCCAGTCTTTAAAATATATCTTGAATCAATACAACTAAAATATGTAAGTTTAAAGATAAAAAATTAAACTAGAAATTAATTAATTTATTTTTTTAATGCATTTGGTACAGGATCTATCAGGTCTACAGAGTTCACTATGTAGATCAGACTTGTAGTGATCCTCCTGTTTTCAGCCTCCCAAGCACTGGGATTACAGGCATGCACCACTACGCCCAGTCTCAGTGGCCTTTCTGGCATGCCCCAGGGGCAGGGCCTGGCATAGCATACTGGGGATTGAACCCCGGCCTCTGCCCTTTGCCGAAACAGGCGCTTTTAGTCTGCTGAGCTATCTGGCCGGTCCTAGAAATTAATTAAAAAAAAAAAAAAATCACCTCTAATATCTGTATCTGACTCATTACAGAGTTTGGAATCTGAGAATTCAAAGAACTCAATGGAATAAGATTGGAGAGCACTACAATAATTTAGAAGCATCAAATATCCAAAATTAAAGAATCAGGCTTAGGATGCTGTGTTTCAATCCCCAAGCCAAACCAGACCTGCCTTGAAGGCATCCTGAACCTGTCAAAAAACAAAACAAAAAAAAAATTCTTTTAAAATTAAAGAATTCAAATTAAAGGCTGTCAATGCCTATAGTAAGTGAAACTACTTTTGGAATTATACCCCTATAATCTTAGCATTAGGGAGGCTGAGGCATGGAGGATTTCAGTGAGTTCAGGGCTGGACTAGAATACCTAGCGGGATCTTGTATCAAAAAAGCAGCAAATTATGACTTTAAGGAACTTACGGACCAGGAAGAAACCACACAAAACAAGGGCTATTTTGAAAAATACAGATACAGAATTATGGCGATTAAGAGGCAGGAAAAGTTAATCTATGTCAGGCAAATAAAGAAGAGTTTCAGGGCCGGGGAAATGGCTCAGTAGAATAAGCACTTCCCTGGCAAGCGCAAGGGGCTAAATTCAATCCCTGGTTCCACAAAAAAAAAAAAAAAAAAAAAAAGAGTTTCACGTTGGGGGTAAAAATAAAGGCATTTCATAGAGGAAGTAACACCAACAAGAAAAGATACATTAGGAAACTTATAGATGATATTAAAGAACAGACTCTAGTTTACCTGTTAATTTAAAGAGAAAAATAATAATGGAAACTAAGGAATGTTGGCTAGGGACAAATAGAAGACTTTAAATGCTGTTTTCAATTTTATTTTATAGGCAACAGAATGTCTTTAAGATTAGACATGTACTTGAAAATGGCTCATCTGACCCTATGGGACAGGAACAGAGAAAGACCTGAGGGTAAGTGGTAAAAAAGTGTTTAGTTAGGAAGCCACCCAACAGTCCAAAGTGAGACCTCATAAATCATGAGTTGAGGTAGGAGAGTAGAAATTATAAAATGGATAGACAGGAAAAACAGAGGTAAAGGAACAGAATTTTAGAACAGAATTCCTGACATATGTTGGGCAAAGTAGGATAGAGTAAGCTTGAAGTTTTAGGTCCAGGTAAATGGAGGCTAATAGTAAATTAATAGTAGAGACAGAAAAGGAAAAAATAATAAAAATGGCAGTACAAATTTAGAAATAAAAATAAGTTAAATTCTTTAAATTTTGCTTCTCCCCCTAATATGGGCAAGCTGTACTTTGGAACTCAGATGGTAAATAAGCAAGCAAGACACTGGCAGTTGGAAGTAGAGACTGATGTAGTCATTTGAAAACTGCTGCTTCCTACTTAAAACATTTAAAGAATGCAATAATTGTTTGCTACTCTCTTGCTAATTTCTAGTATTTTTCTATTGATAACTAAGTAGCATTTATTTCTAATCAACGTAAGATAAAACTTCATGTGACTTATTAAAGAGTAAATGATATAAGGGTTCCTTATAGAAAAAGAAACTACTTCCTTGGAATAGAGAAATATACTGCTTGTCTTTTGGCCCATTATTGAAGAGTATTCGTGCATCTCTTGAATACTCATAGGACTAACAGACTCAAGGATTAGCTTCTAGATGCAAAAAAAATCTAATATCCAAATATGCTAACAGAAAAGGACAAATTTCAATTCCTATATCAAAAGCATTATTTATAAATATAAAGGGAAAAATCTGTTTGAAAAATTCCTAAATTGGTTGGATTGTAGGAGTCTGTGTGTTTTTTGGAACTACAGTAAAACAATCACACCTATCAATGAGTGCTCCAGTTTTCAAAAATTTTATAGGTAGCTGAAGCTCCTTTTATGAGACTGATTCTGCTTATCAAGACTATCTCTGAATATTTAACCGTTCTTCACACAAAAGGCCTTATACATCTTCTAAAGCATCAAATGAACTGTTCAGGAGCTTGCAAAGCCCTTCTGTGATAAGTCAAACAGGACAAAACAAACTCAGACCCACTCCTTAAAATCCCATTGACTTTACCTGGCGGCTGCCTTGTTGAGTAGTTCAGTCCACCTACTTTCAAGACTTGCTAGCTGTCCAGTGATTTTCTCTCTATCAGCCATCTCAGCGGACTGGGCTATTCTGTCTCCTTCTGCTTGAAGCATGTCTACTGTGGCCTTTCGGTCATCTAGGAGCCGTTGGAGCAACTATGGTACACACGTATGCAAAAAATAGAAAAGTTACCTAAAAATCTGAAATAGGTACAAATAAACAAAACAAAAATTCTGCCAAATCCTAAAATTAATTGGGGGGGGGTATTTTTTAGGGAAGGGTCTACAGGGTGTTCAGAGTCTCACTACTAGATCGGATTCATAGTGATTCGCCTGTTTACAGCCTCCCAAGCGCTGGGATTATAGGGGTATACCACCGGGCCCAGTCTCAATTGGCATCTCAATGCACCTGGGGATGGGGGCGGGGTTGGCATGGCAGGCCTGGCCCCTGTGCCTGCCTGCAGGCACTTTAATCCTAAAATTAATTAACAGAAATTTTTCCATCCTTGAGGCAAACACATGAAATACAGTATAGTTCCTACCACCCACACAAACTTTTCATATGCTTAAGTTTTTAAATGGAGCTGTGACTGTCATTATGTGATAAACAGCAAGCTTCCGATGAATTAAGAGAAAAGTGCATTAAAAAATATGTGAGGTGAGAAATTAAGATAATGACTTCATAATGTGTATCAAAATCAGAACATCAACTTATATATTATACATACATTTAATTCCTGTGAATTATACCTCAATGAATCTGCAAAAAATATTTTGAGATAAGGTTTTATAAAGAAGAAAAATGTAAGCCAAGTATGGTTGCTCACACCAGTAATCCCAGCACTTGGGAGACTGAGGTAAGAGGACTACCAAGTTTAAGGCCAGCTTGAGATTACATAGTGAGTTCAAGACCAGCCTTAACTAAATAGGGAGATCTTGTCTCAACAACCAACCACCTGGCATAGTGACAGATGCCTACAATCCTCTCATTTCGGAGGCTGGGGCAAGATGATTGCTCTATGTTCCAGGCCATCCTGGAATACCTAGGGAGTTATTTATACAGTGAGACCCAGTCTCAAAAAACTGAACCAAACCACACCATACCACACCACACTACACCACACCACTCACCCACACCAAACACACACACACACACACACACACACACAGAGTAAATAAGCTATTTTAAAAATCCAACCAACCAAATAAAAAATGCATTAAAACAGAAATTAAGTCAACCAAAAAATACATATATAAACTTGTACATGCTATTTAGAATATTGCTAAGCTCGAAACACCAAAAGTCTACTAACACAAAGCTGTGGATAGAACACTGAAACAGACTACATTAACAAGTCAATTTGATTAGTTTAACATATGCCACAGTACTACTAGTTTTGAGTAAGATGATAAAATTCTTCTTCTACCTTTCTTTTTCAGGATGATACAAAGTAGGCTGAGATTCTACTACAACTCTTGACTGACTACTTAAACTATATGTGAGTATGTTGTGTGGCTCTCTCAAAAAAAAAATTTTTTTTTTCCTTTTTCTTTCTTTCTTTTTTTTTTGGCAGAACCAGGGATTGAACTCAGGCCCTTGCACTTGCCAGGAAAGTGCTTACTCTACTGAGCCATCTCCCTGGCCCCCTAAGGCTGTTTTATTTCAATGTCCCAACATTCTTACCTTTTGTTCCTGGATCTGTGCTTTAACCACTTTATACTCAGCAGATGGAGGTTTCTGATTGGCTATGAGTTCCTCAGTGTCTGCCAACCAGCTGAGCAATGGCTCCAGGGCATCTTGAAACTTCCCACAATGCAACAAGGCCTCCTGTAGTTGTGCAATTCTTTGAGCAACCTGTGTCACAGATATGAGGTTCATTATGAGAAACAGTAGTTTCAAGTAACTATTGATAGCCTTTATAACTACAGATTTCAACAGCTAAATTTTTATTTGTACTCAGGTTCCAAATTAACTTTATTTTTTTTTATTTTTTATTTTTTTCTTTTTTAAAAGATTTTTAAAAAAAGTTTATTTATTTTGTGTGTGTGTGTGTGTGTGTGGCCAGCTCAGCCCACCAGGGGGCGGGGCTGGCTGGCATGTGGTGCTGGGGGATTGAACCGTGGTCCCTGTGCTTTGCTAAGCTTGTTCTAAGTAGGTGCTTTAGACCACTGAGCCATCTCACCAGCCCCCAAATTAACTTTAGATTTAGCTGTCTCAGTGCTGATCCTAGAACTATCTCCTTGCCACTCACCTTTTTATTCAGTGTATTCCATCGAGCATTGATCTCTTCCATGTCATGTTCCAAACCTTGAACATCACAGTTTTTTCCTGCACTCTGAATTAATCCTTGGCCGAGCCCATTCACTTGCTGCAATTTCATCTGAAGAGGATCCACTTGTTCTTTCTGAAACATCTGGATAATTACAAACCAAAGATTGAACTTAAAAGCTATTAGGGCCTCTATGCTACACTGGTTATTCTTGAGAGATTTATGAGTTAATGGAGGAGAACAAGGAAGAAAAAAACAAAACAAGTAACAAAAAAGGACCCCAAGTCACTGCACAGTGAAGTATAATTGAAACGTCTTTTAATACATCGACCTATAAAAATGTAATTACAGACATAGCACTACAAAAGTCTTTAACTCAATGCCTCATTTTTTAAAAAAGTATTTTGCCTTTTAATGCAAAAAGCTATAGGGAACAGAGATACATCAGAATCCAAATATTGTAAAATAGTGCAAACATATGGATCTTAAAAAGGATGAATGATACCAGATGAGGGAGTATTTTAAGATGAAAAATATCTTAGAGAACAGACTGGACTGATCACTAACGACAGACAATGCTCTTCTCTGACTGGGACCAATAAATCCATTAGTCAAAACACATTAACAGTGTGAAAAAACCCACCAAACCTTGTAGCTTTATCCCCCTGTGGCCATTTAACTCTATCCTGTTACAGGCCATAGACCACACACAGCCAATAGTCTTGAACCAGTACTCCTCTTATTACAAAGGGAATAGGGCCCATTAATGTTGGAAAGTGTCCTTAACATCTTTGGACACATATTCTGAGTAAAATGCAGATAAAAGGTGATACTGTGTCTCAAGATCATCCTCTCTAGAATATGTGTAATAAGCCAAGCACTTACTTTACTAAGGACTATTACAACTCAGACATTTCTATCACGAAACAAAGTCAAAAGAAAACGATCCTTTTATAACATTGAGGGTCTAAAGAAAGAAATTAAATACACTTCACTAAAATCAGATTTCTCTCAATTTACCAAATTAAAACTAGCTATATTTCACTAGCCTGGATATATGTCTGCTTTTTTTCCAGAAAAAAAATTCCATCAGTTTTAGTAAGTCAATTAAAGCCCTGAAACAGGTAAGTCAATTAAAAACAAAACATGATAGCAAACAGAAGAGGACAAAAACAAATGTGAACAAAAACTGTAAGTTTGTATGACTAATTTTGGAATATATGAGCCTACACATCATACTAGGATTAGAAATCTGACTCCACAAAGAATGGCTGGACATGCAGTCAGCAGAAAAGGGAACACTCAACAGGGAAGGTTACAAAGGCATTACTAGTGCAGTCCATTTTGTACTTTAATTTGATTATATCGTATTTTGTTATGCAACACTACAAGGCAGTTTAGCTAAAATAAATTTTTCCCAATGTGGTTTCCAGAAAGAGCAACTGCTATGATTCTAGTATGTATTGTTAAAGATGTTTTCACCAAAGGAAAATCACAAGGGGGAACCTCTCAAGTTCAAAGCTTCTTTGGGACAATGGCATGATGGTGACTGGGGGAGGAAGGTCGACAAAGCAAGGCAGCTGGGGAACAGGTACATGTAGAGAGATGTTAAGTCCACACCAAAGCCCTTTTACCCAATAACCACCTCCAGTCTCATACCTATGTCTGACATTTAAGTTCTTTCTGCGCTGTCAACAGGGTAGCCAGCAGCTACATGTGGCCAGCTAGTACCTACTGCATGGAGTCATAGACAAAGAACACCTCCATCTTGGCAGTAAATTATACTGGCCAGTGACATAGGAAAATAAATACTGAAATTCTAATACTTAATCTTTTTAGACAAGATATATAGATATATAGATGTACATATCTATATATCTATCAGGCTAGTCTTAAGCTTACCTTGTAGCCCAGGTTGGCCTCAAACTCACCATGATCTTTCTGCTTCAGCCTTCCAAATGCTGGGATTACAGGGGTGTGCCACTATACCTGGCAAAGCTCTTTCATAAAGTAGAACCAATTCTTAAAAACTCTGGGTTTATGCCAGGCTCAATGGAACATGCCTGTCATCCTAGCACTTGGCAGCTAAGGGCAGAAGGACTGCTGCGAGTTCAAAGCCAGCCTGAACTCAACAGTGCAACCCTGCCTTAAAAAAAAAAAAGTTTTTATTTTGTTTATAAGCATTTCACGATCCCCAATATGAGATCACGATGACATCAAAATCCCCATCATGAGGTGGCCATGACATCATAATCTCTATTATGTGGTCATTTTGACATCCAAATGGAATTACAGTCCCACATGATGAAATCTCTCATTAAGACCCCAGCTGTGACATCACCATTTGGCAGTCTGACTTCATACTTTCTCAGAATGAGGTCACGATGACATCATGATCCCCACTGTGAGGGGACCAAGACATGAAATTCTCTATTATGTGGTCAGAATGACATCCTAATGAGAGTATAGCCCACATGATAAAATCTCCTACCAGGACTCCAGCTGTGGCATCAAACTTAGCTTTATGATCTCATCTTTACCCACTATAAGGTCACAATGACATCATAATCCTAATTGTGAGGTGATCATGACATTGCAATCTCCATTATGGGGCCAATTCCTTTGTTTCTCACCTCTACTCTATGGATTAAGTTGGCAGGGACAATGGGTATTTTTCTCATCAATTTTCAGATACTCAACACTGAATAGGAAAGCACTTCTAAATATTACCTAGATAATTATTTTGAACATTAGCAGAGTGTTAAAGAAAACAAATCTGAAGATATTTGCTCTTTTCTCTTCCAAATAAAGTTTTGCAAAAGCAGTGTCTTGAGATACATTGAAGTTCCTACTCCTTAGTATTTCAGTTAGTGAAATGAGACTGCCATGTTATTAACTAAGCACTGTTGGCAGTTTTCAGAGGACTACACTTGTAAAAATTATTGCAGTGCTATAAGATGCAACAGGGACATAAAAGAGATAATTCCCAAAGAACTTCTAAAAACACTTTCATCTTCACTGATGTGGCATTCTTCCCATTTTCTCTGACTGATCTTTTCTTTTTTGATATCCTCTATTCTTTTTCCTTCTTTTCCCATACCTACCTCCAAAAGCTGGAGTCTCGGGGGTGGGGGTGAAGAAATGATACCAGTCCTAGGCCCTCTTCTTTTTATACTGTTCTGGGGCAATGCCACACATTCTTTTTTTTTTTTTTTTTTTTTTGATGGTATCAGGGATTGAACTCAGGTTCTGGCACTTGCCAGGAAGGTGCTTACACCGCTGAGCTATATCCCCGGTCCCCATGCTATACATTCTTTTTTTTTTTTTTTTTTTCATGTCAGACGGGTAATGTGTCCACGTCGTAACAAGGTTTGAGGGAGGCATGCCTCATGCATAAGGCATAAATGCCCAATCATCACACTCATGAACCGAAGAATCATGCTATACATTTTTAAGGCTTTAAATATTAACCCTGATAAATGCTAAGAAGCCTCATCTTTCTCCTTTAATTTCAAATCTTTGTATCAACTGCTTTCTTGTCATACAAAATGACTTTTAAGGGGCTGGGGAGATGGCTCAGCAGAATAACCACTTGCCTGACAAAATGACTTTTAAGCATCTCAAACCTAGCAGTTCCAAAGCAAACAGTATCTCCTTTCCTATCTCTGGTTTTCTTCCTTAAATTGATAAATTTATTACTGCCCTATCCACTCACTTGTACAAACCATAACTTAAGCCATCCCCAATCACTCCTTTCCTTCACGCCAACACATTACCAATTATCAGATCTTGTTACTTCAAAGTATTTCTTGAATCCATCCAGTAATATCCACTCTTGTTTTCAAAGTGCATGTCACAGTTTAATGTTTCTTTCTTTCTTTTCTTTTTTGCTGGAACCGGGGATTGAACTCAGACCCTTGAGCTTGCCAGGGAAACACTTATTCTACTGAGCTATCTCCCCAGCCCCACATTTTAATGTTTCTATGAGTCATTTTTGCTCAGTATCTTGCCTCACCACTATATGAGCTTCACAACGGCAGGAACATGTCCATGCCATTCACTGAAGCAGTGTAGTACCTCGCAGAGTAAGTACTAGATAAACACTGATACTGTGGATGAATGATTTCTTCTGTAGAAATCGTGTTAGGGAAAACAAACGTCTATGAAGGTTTTGCCAATCAGCTGAGTATTTTCACTAAACTCATACTGTGGTGCTACCCAATTCTTGGGTAAAAAACTCCTTTGGAAAAGTTTAATGTATATATAGATACAGATATAGATACAGTTTTTTTTTTTGTGTGTGTGTGTGTGGAACCGGGGATTGAACTCAGATCCTTGCGCTTGCCAGGGAAGTGCTCATTCTACTGAGCCATCTCCCCGGCCCAGGAAAAATTTAATATTATAGAACTTATGTATTAAAATAATTTTTTTCTTCCTTTGAACTAGTGACTGGAACTAACACTGAAAAAGTCTACAAGCGAGTAGGAATTTAACCAGAGAATGCTTTCACTTGGTCTCAGATCTCACTATAGAAATATTATACTCTGTTGCTATTGGGCATTAGGGAAAAAAATATGTGTGTGCATTTGTACATACATGTACGCACACAAAAGATCTCAAATAATTCACTCTAAATCATATTCCAGATATGATCATTTACTGAGGTCTAAGTGTTGATGTATGGAAGTGACAGGTTTGACTGTCTCATAACAATACTTCACCAACTGAGCAAATCTGTATACTCACGTTAACTCAATGATGCTTCATTATTTTAAGAATTTTTTTTTAAATCTTTCATTTATTTAATACAGGGTCTCATTATGCAGTCCAGATTTGTAGTGATCCTCTGGTCTCAGCTTCTCCAGCGCTAGGATTACATGTGTGCACCATCATGCCCAATTTCAGGGCCTACATAGCGCTGGGCTTGCATGTGGTACTGGGAATCAAACTTGGGTCCTTGCACTGACAAGGCAGGCAGGCATAGGTCACCAAAATAATTTCTTTTTTCTTTTTTTTAGAAAGCATCTTGCTATGTAGTACAGGCTGGCCTTAACTTGTGGCAATCCTTCTGCCTCTGCCTTCTGAGTGTTGGGAAAACAGGTGTGTGCAACTATGCCTGGCAGTCTCTATACACTCTCACTGGTTAACATTCTTGGCCAGGACTATGCCTTAGGTCTTTTAAAAAATGTATTTGGTACAGGGTGCACAGCTTGAACTCATAGTCCCCTTTCCCTTGCCTTCCCCCTTGTCTTTTTGTAGAGATGTAGGTATCTGCTTGCTTCCAGACATTCCACAAAGTAACAAGTCAAAGATAGATAACTTTGTAGGCAGCTACCAGCTCCTTCTGTCATTTTGTTAATCAGTATTTCATAATATGACTACCTCCTGCAGTTGGTCAGATCCTGAGATATCACCTAGTCCTATCTACACATTGCAGAAGAGCTCATGAAGAATAGCAGTAAGGATTGTTCTGAAATCTTTCTTTCTTTCTTTCTTTCTTTCTTTCTTTCTTTCTTTCTTTCTTTCTTTCTTTCTTTTTTGTGGCTGGCTCAGCCTGCACTGGGGGTGGGGCTGACCCTGCATGTGGTGCCAGGGATTGAATCAAGGTCCCTGTGATTGCCTAAGCTTGCCTAAGTAGTTGCTTTAGATTGCTGAGCTATCTCACTGGCCCTGAATTTTTTTTTCCCTTTACAATGATCTGTCTTGCTCCTTAAAACTTAATCTCTGTATTTCACTGATTGCCACTATAGGCCTCATACCATTAATACGCTGTATTATAAAGAATGCCAGTGCTGCTGGATGTGGTGGTGCATGCCTGTAATTTCAGTACTTTGGAAGGTTCCAGCAAAAGAACAAGTTCAAGCCCTGCCTGGATAACTTGGCAAGACAATGTTTAAAAAAAAAAAAAAAAAAAAAAAAATCCTAGTGCAAAAATTTATTATCGTTGTTCTGACTTTGGAAAGGTTACTAGGATCAGTGTGCTAGAATCCCAAATTCAGTAAAACTCAGAAAACAATAAAAATCCATCCGACTTGAAAGTGATGCATCCTAATTTGATGGGATGCTATGTTACAAAAGAACCAGTGGAACTCAAAGTGAAATCATTTACCACTCTGCTAAGCAGGAGGATCTGTGGTAAAGTTGGCACCTTACAGGACCAATTAATTATTTTGTTGCTGTTAGCTGCACATTTAACCGGTACTCTAGCAGACTAGGTTGCCCTGAAAAGCTCTGCATTGGTGTGTGTGAGGGGGGATGAGCAAGCCCCTTTTTCTTGTAACACCCTGTGACGTCTCAGAATTGATAGCCAGACAATAATGCATGCACTTGAGGAAGGAGTAAGATCGAAACAACTTCCTCACTCAGTCCTAACTGTGTGAGATAAAACTCTAAACTCTTTACTGTTTACCACTGACCAAACAACAACTGCAGAAAACTGCTAAACTCTTAATTCCTCTGGCTAGGAGGGCTCAAGGATGTGTTTCCTATCTATAGTCTAACATCAAGAATCTTAAGAGCTGAGAAAGATTTAGGAGGTGGTCTGAGCCTAATTCTCTTGCTTTTCAGATTAAGAAATAAGAGATCCAAGAAAGGAAAACAACTTGCTTAAGGACACAAACACAATTTCACAAGCTGACTAACTAAAATATATCTTTTTTTGCCTAAGTTATTATGCAGTAGCTTTAAGAAACACATATGCATTTAAATAGCTGTTATTCACACATATTTATACTACTTTTACCTAACCTGCTGTGGTTCTATCTAACCAACACACATATTTAAAGGGAAGGGGTAAAATATGTCTGTTTCACACACCTCCGGCTTTATAAAAGCCGTAACTCATTTTATTCTTGCCACCCTCACAGGAGCCTGGCCTTACCAAACGAAGAAACTAAAGACTCAGAATATCTAGAATATCTACCTAATTTCTAGAGTACTCCAGGTCTCAAAGTTCACACTGTGGCCTCTACCTAACTGCAGACATCATCGATCAATATGTAGCTCTTAATTTAGGAAGGAACAAGCTTGCTTTATATTTCAAAAGCAAAGTCCTCCTTTCCTCTTAATTAACGACTTAAAAATGTAAACCAACAACTAGCTACGTCCCTGTTGCCCTTGGGCTTGGCCTGTTAAAAAAAATAGAGCATGAGTTACAAAGTTTTTCACCATACAAAACTAAGATAAGCTTCCTTCTAAACTCAATAGCGAGTATAGAAATTATTGGCCCATCCCCTCTCCCACGAAAGTATTTGTACTATTTCTCATTACTGCCAAGTCAGAGAACTAGGAAATCTCTTTACTCTCTAGAACCTAACCCGAAACAATGTGAGCAACATTTACCTCATTTGAATTTAATCCATCAGTTGCAGCCAGAGGCACTTTCCCATGTAGCACTGTGCCAGGCACCTCTTTTATTAAAGCTGAAGAATTAAAATCTTCCTTGAACCACATTCTAGTGGCAGAAACATCCTCAAGAACAAGAGTTCCTTCTGTGATAGGCACTGAATCATTGTAGGCACCAACTCTCAGGAAGGGTCTGCTAGCAGGAGAAATGTCCTCCACAGCAGGCATTGCGGTAACTAAGGTGGCAGACTCTTCTGGGATTGGCACGGCAACAGTTAGGACAACACCCTCCCCAGGGATGGGCTCTGCAGCAGCTGAGGTGGGAGGTTCCTCCGGGGTACAATCTGTGAGTGCTGGAGGGCTTGGCTCCTTAGGAGTATGCCCGGCAGCAGCTAGGGTGACAAGCCCTTCTAGGGTGTCATCTTCTGTGATGGGTACTGCAGCAGGTGCAGCAGTCCCCTCTGCAGAGGACCACTTAACAGCTGGTTCAGCCTCTTCTGTGATGGTTGCAGCAGCAGCTAGAGCAGTCCCCTGTGGGGAGGACACTGAAGCAACTGGAACACTCCCTTTGGGAGCAAATACTGTAAGAGCTGGGGCAGCAGCCTCCACTGGGGCTGCCAGTACAGTAGCAGTGACATCCTCCTTTAAGATGACCACTGAAGCAGCTGGGATATGGCTCTCTGTGGTGATCAGTGAAGCAAATGGAATGTCCTCCTCAGGGAAGGGCACTTTAGCAGCCACTATAGAAGCTCCCCCTGGGGCAGGCACTGCAGCAACTGGAATGTCCTCCTCTAGGGTGGGCAGGGCAGCATCTAAGGCACCTTCTTCTACAGAGAGCACTGCAGCAGCTGTGATAGGGTCCTGAAGGTGGGGCATCCATTCCTCCAAAACTGGTTCAGTATTACTAGCATTGGTAACTTGTTCTTCTGGAAAAATACTAAGGAATGAATCTAAATCTCCCATTTCAGTATCATTTCCCTGTGATGCCACAGTCAGCTCAGGCTTTGTATCACTTAGAGTTTCCCCTCCATCTCTATGTCTCAGTTCTCTACCCGGCATGTGCAGAGTCAGAGACTCTGACTCTGGAAACTCCCTC